TACAGTGAGGAACATTGCACGGATCATGACACTTTTAATTTGATATTAGATAGGTGTACACCTTTCGTAATATTTAAATTCTGCAGAGATAAACATAAGGGAAAAAGAATTTCTGATGGACATGTTAAGAAGATAAAGAAGTTAAAGGTAAGTAGAGTCTAATTAATTTTTTTTTCAGATTAGTTTTGTGTTTATATGTTTATTTTGTTATGTTTATGCAGAGTATAATAATTGTTTTTTTGTTAAGAATTATATTTTATTTTTTTTTACTAAAGTTTTAATGTATGTATAGTACTTTTATTTTGATGGTATTTTAGAAAATGATATCATTTTGTGTATACCTAAATATTATGTTTATGTAGAATGTTTTGTTTTTTATATTTTCAATAAAAATGATTTCTTTTACAGCATAAATGTGTTTTATTTTATTTTGGTGTGTAAGCTCGGAAAATTTATCGGAATTTATTGGTCACTTAAAACGATCGATAAATTTAGATCAATTTTTCCAAAATAAAATGACTATAATAAAAACATCAAATAAAGAATATTGGTTCCTAAACATTTAAAAAGCCCACGCATAGTGGGAAATTTTCTGTCAATTCTCATTTTAAAAAAGCCGCTTAAGTTTTGTTTGCCGAACTATCGCAAATGGCGCTGATTTGTTGCTAGTCGTTAACAAGGGAATTTGCATTTCTTGTATTGAGTGTTCTGTGAGCTTTCTCATCTACGGTACTGACAACCTAACCGCCGCCAACCTATGTAAGGACATTCCCTATTTGAGTAACGTTCCGTGTCCCTAAACTTCGATGTGTGGTTGGGTGCCTAAGTTTAGGAGATTTTTCTTAATTTATTATTTAAATTCAAATTATTCAAACGCGATTTCGTGGCCTTGTTCTTAATTTCTTTGTAAAATAAATATGTATTGATGATTATATATATATATATGATTATCATCAAACTTAAATTATTGTAAAATAAACATTCCCAGGATAGTAAATACATATATTGGGCAAATAAAGATACTATTACTATTACTATTACTATTACTAAATACATGCACTACAAAAGACTTAATTTGTGTAAATAACGATAAATTACACCAAAGGTCCATCTCGTGAAAATATTTTACGTTGATAAAAATTAATTCGTTGCAGTAGGGCGACATAAAAAAAAACAAAACGATTTTTAACAATGTTCTTACGACAATTTATTTTTCAAAATCAGATAGTAACACTGAAACAGTGAATTTATACGATGTATTATACGGTTAATTATGTTTGTTTTGAATCAAAATACAATATTTCTACCCAAGAACAAGCGCTTCGAATAATGTGACAGACCGTTTAAAGAAGGAACATCGAGTATACATACAGAGTGAATCACCAAACGTGCGATCTCATCAATTACATATTAGAAATACGAAAAAATTCAAAGACCAAAGTTGAACACTTCCTCAAAGACTAAACTCGAAAATTATTCTTGTTAGTACAGAGAGCGTTCTGTTTTTAAGGCGCAACACACAACTTAGTTTTTTTTTTTTTTTAATGAAACACCCTACATATTTTTACATATTTTTATTTGCCTCTTCTAGGCTGTATAAGTACATTTTATTTTTTAGATCCCCATGCCGACGTTGCCACGTTATTCCAATTTTCTTGAAAGTTTATGGCAATGGAAGGGCTCACAAAAAAACGCAATAGGGTTGTCTTTGTTTTAATACTTTGTGGAATTATCAAATTTTAATGTACAGTGTTTAATAACAAAATTTTAGAGTTTCACAATTTTCAAATATCGATATTTCAGTTTTTAATGCACGTACTAGATACTTATTTATACCTTATGATCTTCAAACTTATCCTACGTCTTCGAATGTAACTGGCGCTAGCTAACTAAATTGTTTTATAAAGGCTCTTTACTCATAATAGTCGTAATTATTAAATATTCTAAACAATTTTTAAGTTTGATCGTTCACAATTTTATTCATTTGTTCCTCGATAGAGTGAATTTTTTGGATTTCATAGTTTGGTATTAATAACAGATTTTTTATAATCCGAGCTGATTAATCACATCTGCAGGAATTTGTTTTAACATAGTCATTTTACGAGTTCTGCTGCATACACGATATAAAACACATTTAAAACGAAACATTTTACATCACACGTAAAATCAAAGTCGAGATCTATGGAAGCTCCAAAAACATTTATATTTAAGAGAACTTGCTGTGCTTAAAGAATATCTAGTTATTGCGTCATGACTCAGACAGTGTTCATCAAAAATTTATTTCCAGAATGAAAATGTTTTTGGGGAGTCTGGATTTTAGCGAGAGTGGTGCATTTTTCCTTCTTCCATAAGCGCAACAATAAAGTAATAATGGGACGGTCCAGACCAAAAATATTCAATATATTCAAAGTAATACGTACATATGTTGTGTGTTTAATGGAATTCACTGAGTTTGATTTAAGATATGATGATAAATACGAAGAAGTAAATAATAATTAAAATTAAATTTACATAAGATGAAAAATATAAAATCTGATCATTTTTTCAATTTAAAACAGGGAAAGTATTCATACTCTATTTTAAATTCTAAATTTAAAAAAAATAGTTATCTTGTAATCACAAAAGTAAAATGACAAACTATAACTAGGTAAGTATGTAGAAAGTTTCATTAGTGACAAAAAAATATTTAGCCACTCAATAAAACATTGCCATGTGTGCCTAGTAGAGTAGTTTAAATGGTAACAGACAACCGTGTCTGATGATGACAGATCGTTTACACGGTATTACACGAAATCTCACCATTCCTAGAACAATGATTTATACGTATCCTCGGACGAAAACGTACAGAAATTTAAATTCACTTAACACGTTAAATTCACACAAATTGTTTTTACTTACACTTAAACTTTGGTATCCCAATAAATTAATGTTAAAATTACTGCAATATAACAACATAAATATCGACATGAAACACATCGATATTAATGATGCACACATTTCTGACCGAATTAAGATTAAATATGGAGGTTTCAGTCTGGTGTCATAGGTTTAGATCAAATTACTCTGCTGGAAAAGAAATAACTCTAGTCTACAATTTCGGTCTGTATTAACGTTTAGAAAATATGAAGTTATTCAAAGTACCTATATGTTCTTAAAAAACCACTACACAAAGACTGTGTAGATACTTTTAGTAGAACAGTTTTCTGTAAATGTCTAGTGTTGTATTTCAACGACTTTCCATTAAAAAAAAATGTTAAAATGAGCCAGTTTACTGTTGGCGTATTTTTCATTCCAAAAATAACTTCACAAAAGACATTACCACTTCAATTTCAACGTGTGTAACACAGCACTAATTTAGACTAGTTTAGTAAAAACATGAATATCCAAATGCTACGCTTTTAAATTTATGTTGCTGTATCAACATCACACATAAATGGGTATATGTTCCTGAAAATAACGACTATAAAGTATACTCTATATTTCTATTTACATAGGTAGGTACTTTAAATTAGACGTCATTCATTGTAAATTTTGATAATACATTGCTATCAACACACATAGTTTGCTTGATATGTACAGTGGAATACTTACCTTTGAAAAGAACAAAATCAATAAAACGTCTCAATGGACGTAAAAGCATCCGGACGGGTCCACTTGTAAATTTAGGAGGCGAAAACTGAACTGATCGTTCCGTTAACGGTGTTTGATCATCATTCTGTTCGAGTTCTTTCAATAATCATTCATAATGCATGCCTTTAAAGATGTAGCGTAATAACCTAATAACTGTATGTATTTATTCTAAAAAAGCCACCGGATAACTCAAGAAGTACCTCTCATAGTATTTCCACTCTAAATGTCTCGTTGCACAGACAGGAAAGTTATAAACGGAAAACGAATTTGGGGAATTTCGTAATTAACAGCATTTGTCATTGTTCCGTTAAAAATGTTATAAAAAAATATATAAAAGGGAGCTATTATGGAATATTTATTTCATTTTTGTGTGGTTTGGGTAACATTTGACGGAACAAATTCCGGAATAACAATGGAAGTAAATTGGGTTGCATACTTTTATCATTAGGTACATTATTTAGCGATTTATTTTAACAAAGCTTGTTGATTGAATGGATTATTTTTTAATCTGGTTTATGATGCGTATATTCATACAAAAAATATAGTACACAAGTCCAACTGCAAAGCTGGTACGCACACAATGAATTAATGACAAACTGGCTGCGTCGCGTTGTCAACTCGTGGATAATATGCTTATTTTTACGGTTTTAATTATGTAACACCGTTACGATATTTACATTATATTTATTAAGTAGAACCTATCCTTAGGTTAGGGCAGTAAGTCTAGCTTCAGTGTAATACCATTCCAACAATGGTAAAAAATATTCAAGGGGTGTAAAATTCACAAATTAAAAGGACGGTTGAAAAAAGCAAAGGGGTAAAGTGGTGGGTGGACACTTCTTTTAAATCTAAACCCTTTTTGTAATATGATGTCATCTACTTTCCATTTAATGCGTCTGGTCGCTGGCGGCCGCATTTAAGCACCGGTTAAAATAAATTAAAAATTCACTACGTCATATCCTTTTTACAACTCACCGTAAGCGTCAAATTTTTTACAACCTAACTTTAAAACTGTTTTTTTTTGTTCCTTTGGTTCTGATAAACATCATCAAACTAAAAATCCTGCTTTTTTTAGTTTGTTGCTTTCATAAAAAATACTCATTCGTACTTTTTTAAATCGTGTCAAAATGCGTACGTGAATTATTGCAATCAATATTTTCAATAACCGGGTCAGACGCGTGAAAACTTCCAGAGACATGAAACTATCCACAAACAGATTCGCCTCTTACCTCGTCTACTTCTATCCAGTAAATAGTTCTAATTCCCAATATGAACACATAGCGAGTATTACCGTACATAGCAGACAAAGGTATGTACAGAATTAGGGGTATTTTATTGAAGGTGTCAAAATCTACAAAATTTCAAGCAAATGCTATAACAAAATAAATCTTTATTTGTCTGGTATCATACACAACAATAACAAAAATGTTTCCTCTTGAATGAAGTATTTTATTATGTTCGTCAGCACTTTAGATTGATTAAATTTAGAATTGTTGTTATAATTCGTTCTCCTTTATCGTGATGCCAAATATTCAATAATGGATCCTTAATTTTCTCCTCAAGTAGCATGAACAACTCGTCTCTCAGCATCTTCACCATCTCCGCAATCTAAAACCACTCCTTTTACATAAACCATTTACTGAAAAGACAAAACTTACCTTATGCTCTTCTACTTGAAACATAATCCAACCACGTTCGAGTGAAATAAACGTGCATCCGTTATTTACGCTAATATCCAAATCAAATCCCGAGAAAAGAACCAGGGAGATGGATGGAATGACAGTGCAATCTCTAAAATATACCTTGTTGGTCTTGACTTTTTCCTGATAAACTAAATACGGGCTTGGGAAATTTTTAACCGTGAAATTCACCGACGAGGGATGGAGAAACACCGTTTCCTTTGATGTTAAAAATTTGAAATCTTTGGCATCATTGTCTTTGGGAATGGCGCCGGCAGCGGTTTTCACGTAAGATTTAGGCGGTGTCAATATTTTTATCACGTTAGGATACAACGCTGCACATAAAATCGCACCGAGGACGTTCAAATTGTCGCCGTTGTGGTTAAACTAAATAAAGAGGTAAATATTATTTTTACGACATTGAAATTTTCTACTAGTACAATAAAATATGAAAATAAAACTGACGATCCCACAAAATAGTCATTATTAATTCTTTGCACACACATGTTAAAATATCATACAATCGTCGTACTCATGTTGGATAGGGCACATAAAGATTAACTAGAACTAAAAATTTGCGATTCTATGTTTAAGTGTTATGCGGTCGGGATTTGAGCGCCTGGCGCACTCCACTAGAACCATACCTAGGTCCTGTGACGAACCACAAATTTAACAATGCACGCACAAAAGACTTAAAACAAATTAATGATAAAAAGGGAAATAAAATTGTATTTTGTTAAAATGAATTATAGCAACAATGAATTATGGAGTTTAAAATGATTAAAGCGTATGTTTCAATAACATACAATGTAATATGGAGCTTAAAACTATCGTTGAGAATGAAACTATTCGTGTAAATACTTTTTTATTGTAACTGTTATATGAAAGCAAATATTTGTGGTGCACCAACCAGCGGCGTATCGAAAGTCTGTAACATAATCAGTAATGGGTATCTGATCAGCAGTGTCCACGACAAAAATCACTATCGAAAAAAAATGTAAATAAAAGTAGAACAAAAAACGATATTAACGGTCGAAGCTGCGGTAACAAAACACCACACACTGAATCAACTAGGGACACCACTGATTTTCCAGTACCCGAGTGAGGGTAAATTCATAGTTTCAATGTCTATTTTAATCAAGAGATAAGGCAACCACTTTACATGTTATAACATGTTTCTTCTAAGTAACACGTCGTGTGTAAAACTAAGCCCAGAAGTTAAATTTGTCAACTTCGTACGACCGAAGGCACGTGTATGCAAAGATGAAAATCGAATTATACAACATAAAATGCAACGCCTACCTCAGATCCGGTTATTTGAATGATGTTATCTTCCCCGCTCCTCCTCTTTCCGCCTAAGTTAACGGGAATAAAACCAATATCAACTAAAAACTCCAAAAACTGATGTTTAATATCGGCAATCGTAAGCAATGTTCTCAACGACAAAAAATTCTCATGCGCAAAATTCCTTCCCGCCATACTACTCTTCTTGTACGTCGTCAACCACTTCTTATACGCTATGAGCATGGTGATGTGGTCGCTATGCCCCGTCGCAAACTTTTTTTTCTTCTCGTCAACTTCATCCCTTTTCCTGAAAGGAGTGACAAACGGGCTTTTATGACTCAAACAAGCGGCCATCGTCAAGGCTGAATCGACACAGGAAAAAATTGCCCCGTACAATAGTAATTTTCCGATGCGAACGTCTACCGGCAAAGCGGCCAAATGATGACCCAATGCCGTTAACTGCTGATCCCGATCTAATGCGCCGACATTCTCAAGTCGAAGAATTGCTGTATCCGAATGCTCTTGCTTGGGAGGTTCGATCAAAGCATTGATGACATCAGAAACATCTTTATCCTCGAAATTTTGCAAGAGTTTGATGTTGAGAATTAACTGCTCCAGTGGAATACGATGCATTTCAGGGATTGGTTGGGAAAGCATTTGATAATTGAATCTGTTGCTTGTGTATAAATGGAAGCAGACACCTGGCATCACACGGCCTGCCCTTCCTTTGCGCTGAAGAGCATTGGCTCGAGTCACCCAGACGGTTTCAAGACTCTCCATGTTTCGGTTAGGATCGAAGTGTTTCTCTCGCATACGACCGGAATCAATTACAAAGACGCAATCATCTATAGTGACCGATGTTTCGGCGATGTTCGTAGACAGGATTATTTTTCGCACGCCCTTCGGTTTGCTAGAAATCACAGCAACAATAAGTAAAAAAAATGTATTTTGAGATTGCACTTTGTTATACAAAAACTGTAACACGATATGGATACGAAATTTACTGTTTTCACGTCAAGTTCATTCGCTACGAAGGCAGAGGGACAGATTTATTTAATATGGGCACAATTTCAACATAAATATTAACTGCATACACTTTAAAATTCAAATCACGTAGTTTTATAAACTTTTTACTGTAATAGGAAATCTACTTTATTTATTAGTTGTTTGTCTGTCTAACTTAGATCTTAGGTAAACAGAGATGTATCGAAATCTTTAGCAGACGCTATACAAACACATGTTTACCATATTTCAATGGATAACAAAAAGAAAGTATTTGATACACTTTTTAAACGAAAACCTTTGACAAAATAAAATTATTTGCAAGCACGGAGCCTTTTCTTCAGACCCACGGAAAGTCGTTGCGGGAAAGCGTCCTTAAATCCCACAACAAAGGTGAACTCTGGATATATGCTTACCGTCTTCTACATTGTAGGTAAAAATAATTTCTATTTTACATGATGGGATTCAAAGTGAATAATAATAACAACAAAAAGTTGGTCGAAGGTTATTTCGACAAAACTTCCCTCGCCCTTGAAGTACGGACCAATAAATCCCGCTTCTTTGAAGCATTATAAAATTTGATTTTGAATTCCAAGACACACGTGCGAACAATATGAAATATATTTAAAACAGATAACCAACGGGAAAAAGTGTACTATCATCAGTGTCCATGCTTAAATTCGATGGTTTATGTACATACACCATACATTGTCTCGTCAAAACAGAGGACTAAAATTATTAATAAAGCCACAATGAAATAAAATATTCTGAATCGTATTATTACATTTTCGAGAAAACGGGAGTGAATCGTTTTTAATTTGATCAATAAAAACTAAAGATGAATTTCATTAAATTTATTTCATTTAATTGAAAAAGAGCTTCAAACCCCGCATCTCTCACCTGCCAGGCAAACACGCTAGCACTGAACCACCGATCCGCTTATACAAGTTCGTATTATGTGGATAAATAACAACACGGATTAAACCATAAATAAAATATGATAATAATACACAAAATCAAGGTAGATTCGTAAACCACAAGTATTTCAAAACGTTTAGATAATGTTTATTACGCAATATAATGAGCAGACGTCATCAACTTGGTAGTATAGATGATTAGCCGATTTTAGTTATATGATAGTCCTCATATCCATATAAAATTTGACAACAATCGGTCCAATGATTTCGGAGATTATCTGTCTAATAAAAATCGACACAGATGGAAACGGAAGGCCACTGTTTCGAACTCCAAGGGTCATGAAACATCGATAAAAAATGAAAGTAGCCAGACTCTGGATGGACCCTATTATCATAATATTTCCTTCGTCTATAAGTAAGTTTATAAGGGAAATAATAATTCGATTGCAATTGTCACGCCGAAACTACATTATTTTTAATGACAAATTTCAAAACATTCCAAATTCGACAAATGTCTGCAAGTTCCGTGTACTAAAATTGTTTAACTTACAAAATGTTCCCGCAAAAATTTCGGGTAGTAATATTTCTATCGTGGTGCAACTTCTTTGAAAAAAGAAAAAACTGTTCCAAGTGAGTTCCAAGAGACGTATATTATTTACAAAGGAATACCGGCTACTGTTGTTTTTTTCTTGTTAAAGTTATTCGCATTCCAAAATTTTATTTGAAAGTAAAGTCGCAGAAACGTAAAAATAAAATTTTGTATTTTTTCATGCAGATTTAATCATACGAATTGACAGATAAGTTGATGAGGTTATTAAACTAAATTGTTAGCACACTGAATTGTGGATAAACCCGCGTCCCTGAGTGTAGCTTATAACACGCAAATCTACTGAAAATCTTGACATAAATGATATTTATTTATCACTTAGTTTTATCTGCGGCCTTATATGTCATAATTATTTCAAAGTTATTGCCAATAAAAATAAAAACAAATTAAAAATAATATTATTAACAAGCACCATTATTAATTAAAATAATGAAAACAACACTACTCAGAAAAATTGTTCTGCTGATTCTGAATATTTACTTTAACGTTAACCCACCACGGCTAGAAAAATGATACATAAATGTTTAATAACTAACCACTTGTAGCTGATTTTCTTTTAACTCTTCCTAGATAATATATTTTTTCATTAAATGCTTACTAAAACACTATTAATAATTATCATTATGTTAGTTTTCTAAAAAGAATGTCTGATTTCTTTCTATTTTTTCATAAAAACCTTTAAATAACTTTTTTGCTTATTATTTGTTGCTTCAAATCGCCGGTTTTCCCTAACTATACATCACGACTTTCATCGTCTACTTTCTGTTCCTCTATTCATTTTGTTTTAACACAGCCTACGTGTGACTAACCGCAACTACAACTTGCGAAATTTTATACAGTGGTGTATCAACCAATTTTGTAGTCAATAACTTAAAAAACTTGCATAAAATGACGAAATAAGGTTATTATTAATTAATTTTAAATTCACGTTCTTTAGACGAAACAATCCAAAATAGTATATACTGCTAATGATAATGGCGTTGTAGCGAACGAACTTGACCCTGTTGGTCTGTTTCTGGTCAATCAGGTTGATTTCAATATCCAGTTGCCATTAATAAAATATAGAAATTCACGCTCGTTTTTTATTTATTATCCAATCGATGAGGCGACAAGAAAACATTATGCAGAATCTTCGCCACTTTCTACCATAAAAAATTTAAAAGTATTATTTGCTTTTACTCTGAATTATATAAGTTTGTATACTAACTATATTTTTAATGAATATTACTTCATATTTTAGTTCAATAGAAAACGCAGACCACCGTGGCCTAATAGCAAACGGATTTACCAACTTCTTCAATGTTATTTGCATAAGCTTAGTTGCTGTATAAGTGTGTATGTAGCACTCGTGTTTGTGTATTATTTTTCAGGTTCCAATAAGAATCCGCACTTATTATTACTAAGATTCATTTCTTAACGCTAGGTAAGTCAATTTACTACCTCAAAAGATGACTTCTTCTCCATTATTAAAAAAAAGATGTTAACATTTAGAAAAATTTATCTCTCTATCAGGAAATTTAGTGTGCTACGCTAGATTACATCCTCCATTTTTTTGGCCATCTAGGTTCATTAGTCAACTTTCTCAATTTTTACCCTTTCTGAACTCAGACCGTCATAAATTACAGTTACTCCGAAAGTTTGTTATTCGAACTTTTTACGTCTACAGTAATTGTAAATTAAACCGAACAATAACTTCCGTTACTACATAATTGAAAAACCCGCTTCTAAGCTTTTCACTATTTTCATAATTTTGTTCCCAAAACAACTAACTAATCACAAAATTAAATTCTAAACTACCCAACTTACCTAAAAATCAACCCCTGCTCTTCACTGGAAAGCGACGAATGAAGCGGTAGCACTAAATATTTGTTATTTCTGGACCCGAACTCTTTATGTACGGCCAACTGATCGTACAAACTTGTGATTTCGGCAATACCCGGAAGAAAAACTAAAATTGTCCCCTGTCGTGGATATTTATGCTCTCCAAAAACTATCCACATGAGAAGGGATTCTATTAATTCGTTATTCACCACTGTTGGATCCATCAGACAAATGTTCTTGCAACACACGTGAGTGTAATCTTTATACCGAGCCAACAACTGAGCGAACGCTAAATCCTCGTCTTTGATTTTATTGCTCGGCTCTACGCTCTTTGCAGGGGCATTCAAACTAAGTTGAAAGAATTCCGAATCGTAATTTTTCCTACAATACTCCGCTCCCTCTTCCAGGACGTAACCGGTAATGTCAAAAACTGTCTCTAAAAAGTGTTGTTCTACCGGGAAAGTTCGACCCGGAATAGATAAAACAGGAACTCCACCGAAGTAGTCGGAAAATAACTGAGCATTCATTGTGGCACTCATTAAGATAACCTTCAAATCTGGTCGGAAAGGGAGGACGTCTTTAAGAATTAACAAAAGAAAGTCGCTCTGTTCGCTGCGTTCATGGACTTCATCAACAATAATGTGCGTCACCTAGATGTGGAAATGAAATGCGTGAATCACGCTCTGTAGATCGAATGGGCTAATAATTACCTGAGACAGATAGGGCTCACTCTGCAGTCGCCTCAACAAAATTCCAGTTGTGCAAAACGTCAATCGCGTGTAGGTTGAAATTTTAGACTCGAGTCTTATTTGATATCCCACGGTATTGCCAACTTTCGCGTTTCTCTCCGCGGCTACTCTTTCCGCTACGCCGATAGCAGAAATTCTCCTAGGTTGAGTACACACGATTTCAATATGTTTGGGATCCTGCTCATAATTGACTAACCAATCGTCAAAAATATACTGCGGTATCTGAGTACTTTTTCCACAACCCGTTTCACCACTGATAACGACAACCTGAGACTGCTGAATCGTGTTCAAAATATCATTCATGAACCCCCACACTGGCAATTTTTTGCGATATTGTAACATTTCGCGGTACTTTTCGTCTTTTACCATAAACTTAAACTTTTTTGCTATCTTATCATCAATTTCCCGAATCTCTTCTGGAGTAAGAACATTCTGGCTATCACGATTAGTTATTCCTTTGATGTAGTGACTAGGCCTTTTAACTTTTGAAGTTTTTGGACGAATATCCTCAAAAAGTTTCACACTCGGTGAAATAAATCGAGGTTCAGTGCTCACGTGAGCTGTAATTTCTTCTTCATTCGTTAAAAGTTCGATTATAGTATAAACAGAAGGTATGCCGTCTTCGGCCAAAATCCTAGCTTCATCATACAGTCTCTTACAAATATGTAAATTCATTAAAGGCGGTAATACTGCGTTGGTCTTCAATAAGATTAATGGAGGTTCATAGGGGTATTTTGAATTGTAAGGAAAACGTATTTCTAATTCGAAATCATAGTCAGTCAAATGTTGGTTAGGATCCTTTTCCACAACTTCTCTTTCGTGAGAAAACCGACACTTCTCACCCCATTTGCAGGACCCAGATAAAAAATTACGACATTTTTCTTTTTTCTTTACATGATTTTGCACTGGTTTTTGTGTCTTGTTTGTACTTTTATTGTGAAATATTTTAATTAAATAATTTAACTTCAAGGTAATAATCCAGACTGTGTTCTGAACTTTCTCGTGGAAGATTTTACCATAGATGGATTCTAATGAACTTTTCTCGTCGTTTCTCTGCTCTAAAAGATCTTGCTCGGTGAAGTCCTGATTAGGTAATTCGATTTCACTTGAATTAAAATACTTGTTATACAAGACATAAAGTGCATCTTCGACGTTATCTTCGCAATACGTTAAGGCCTCAATGCAATGATTTTGGTGAAAACCATAACTGAAATTTAAAAAAAAAGTACAAATAATTGTTTCACATTTAGCACCTCAAAACAAGTACGGCAAAAGTTTTATCCGCTAAAAACTAAGAAAGTTATACAAAGCTGTGTAAATAAGCTTAAAATTTACACCAAGACCTTCATACAAATGTTACTTCTCTTAAAAAATAAACGCAAACGTGTCACATTTATTACTTTACAACGGAACTTTGTCTCATCCATTTTTAAAGCGGAAACACGAAGTTGCAGATGCAGTGACTCTGTAAATTGGCGTTGCGACTTTAATTATAAATGTATTTTGCTTTCTGAAAGACGGAAAAGCGGCGTACTTCTTGCTTTAATTTTTGAGCTGTCCATTTATCATATCAAGTAATACGACAAAATTAAAGAATTTGTGGAAGGCCAGGACGAAATTAATAATTAGTGGACGTTGTACTCTTCCAAAATAAAGTGAAGATTTTTGCACCTTCCATCGTAAAATGTAGTTGTTACTGTTTGGTTTTTTTATATAGTTATATAATTCATACTGGCTTAATAGACTCAAACAATCAATAAAAAACAAAATTTCAAGGTACTGCGCATTTCTGTGATTGCAATAAAACTTTTCCTAACATCAGGTCATTTGATGTAACAATAGATAAACAAATCTAATCAAATGAAGTCAAATCAATTTAATGTTTCCACAAATTTTGCAACGTCAGTATAAACTTATCTCTGGCTATTCAAACCTGTGTACCAATTGTTTGTACTATCGAATTGTCTACTGCGAAAACAAATTTTATTTGAAATTTCCACATCAAAAACAACTTGAGACAATAATCATTTAAAATGTAAATTGTTTCGTTTGTATTTAATAAAAATAACTTTCAGTTTGTGCAGATAAACGTATGTTACGACAATGATTCTGAATGATCCAACACAAACACGTTGTTTACGCTATGCAAAAAAATGTTGCCAACTATATTAGCATATTCTAGGTTAGAAAAAAACGAAACCTAAGAACTGATTACCCTACGATTTACTCCTATTTGACACCCTCTCACTCTATCAATTTACAAGCACGATGATCATCATAATTAAACATTTTATTGTATTTATATACATAAATATTTGTAGACTCATTCATGAAAAACCCTTACTTTTAATTTAAAACGGGAAAGAAATTTTGGAAACGGTCGTCGAATCACCCCGTAGTAATTTTAGAGTTAAATATTTACAGAATCAAGACTAATAATTTTTTGTTCCAACTGTAAAAAAAATTTACCAACATAGAAAAAAATCACGTCAGTGTAATTAGTAGAGCTGTGCGGTTGAAATTTAAACGCTGCGAATTGACCCCCACTCCGGCAGGCCAGAGGCTTGCAAGCGACGTTATGTATCGCGAAGGAAATTACGCGAAAAATAATGTTAACGGCATGTCAGTTGATGATTTTAAAATCCATATTCACGAAATAAGAATAATCATAATTTTAATAATGTTCAGGTGTCCGTCTCGCTGACAATAAAACTATTTGTGTGAATTATCATATTATCAAAAATAATCCACAACTGAAAAGCGAGAAGCGAGCAAGGCAAGGCTGTGTAGCGATCGGCACTGTGGGCCGATAGTGGGGGTAAATAAATTTCAACCGCACAGCTCTAGTAATTAGCCATTGAAATATTCACCGTATTCATATATTTATCCTCAACCTGTAATAACCTTTATTAGAATTTAAATAACTACCATTTGAATTCAACTAATCTTTTTATACGCAGAACGAACTGTGTTAGAGGGATAACTTGTAAATTTTAACATAATAATATAAAACGCTCACACGAATAAAATGTTAAAATGTATACGTAGTTTACCTTTTTTTATTTAAAATATACTGTCAAATGAAAAAGTTAGAAAACGACTTTGCTAAAAAATCGGCACTATTAACAAAAATCTATAGCCATTATTAACAAGTCAAGTTCGCAAACACAAAAATATCGATCAAATGAATCAGTTGATACCCTTTTAATATTACATAACTGAAACTAGTTAGAAAAACCTATCTATAATATTTGGTAGTTCAAACTTAACTAAAACAGAAAATATAATGTAAGAAACGGTATATAAAATCCTTATGTTTAGAAAATGAAAACGGGTGAAAACAGAGGAAAATAAATTTTACCATCAGTATGCATTTTTGTTCAATTAATCATTCACGTATTATGACGGCATACGACCTTAATTTTAATAACCAATTTATTTAATAGTTTGTTTTTTGCTCTTATTGCACCAAATTCCTATGTACCACCAATCAAATGCATTATAAAAGAAGCTCTAAGTGAATGAGAATAAAACTCAATGTGCGGTCCTATTAAATAAAAATGAGGCTTAGGCTTCTTTGAAAATAAATATATGCATGTAATAGTAATATTAATAAGAATAAGCAATAGGAATCTACGACAATAACTGATTCTGCCGCTTCATAGAGCAAATATAACACTTTCCGAATCAATAGCTGATTCTCTTTTCTGGACTGTGAATGAAAAACAATATCACTACCTTTGTAACCTTAACAACGCAAATTCTTTTAACCGATCCACTTCATATGTCACATCTTCCATTTTCGAAAAATCACGAGCCCCTTTAATGACCAAATTACTCTGGCCCATCCAGTATTTTTTCCCAAGATTAGTTTTAACATCTTCGTAATCAGATGCTTTTTTTAAGGCAAACTCCTGAAAGACATCACATAACCTTACTTCCTAAAAACTTCAAATAAACACTAACCGATCCATGAATAAACCGAAGAGTTTCCATAATTTGTTCTTGGACTTCATCGTTTAAGTGTAGAAACTGTAATTGTTCCTTTACTATATTTTTCTTCGTAGCAGACGAAGTTTTACTAAAATGTAACACATGTAGTAAAATTAGGTTACCCGAGTCCGAATTAATACCAACCCTATCTTTGCACTGGGAATATCTCGAAGAAAAAAGTCTGATTTACTGATAGTTTCTTCACCTGACATTGTATGAATTAAGAGTATTTAGAATTTTATTTAATTAAAATATTCCAACAATACAGGTACTGACAGTTAGTTACCTGTCACTGTCAGTGTGACCAATGCAACACAATGAATGTTCCTAACCCTTATTTGAAATTTTTGAAAAAAAAAACCGCTTGGAACAACCAGAACAACCACAGACGTGGAAAAAGTTACTCCATGTTTTTAGTAGCTGATAGTGTTAGATAACAGTTGATGATATTGATAAATCACTTCAGAAACTGTCTCAGTCGAAATCATTATGATACACACGTAAACGCCGTACATAAAACCCGATCACGTGTTTTATTAAGAATTACTGTTCTGTTGTTTTTTTTTGTCTGAATTTTGAATTTTTAAAGTCAAGAGAGTACAATTACAAAATGTTTATCACACCGAAGGCTAGACTACCCGTTGGAAAGCTGTAGGCTGGAGTTTCGATCTTGTTGGATATTCGTTAGACAAAGATTGCAAAAGTATAATGATGTATAATATGCTTTATTGTTTTACTAAATTTAGTTGTTGTCATTGAGGACAAAAGTAAAAAACGCAACTTTAAAATTATGTAAGAAAAATTCAAAATATTTTGTTTACAAACTTTTTTAACACGTGTTTCTGTGTCACTGAAAATATTTTGTGGATGTTTTAACTAAATTATAACATTCCTAAAATGTTGTGTCCTTTTCTTCGTTCTACCTGCTCCCACAGATGCTCTATAAGAGATGATTCTAAAACAACATTATTTTCCCGAAAGCATTAGTTTACCAAATTGAATGAGTGTTCAGAAACGATATCATGTCTAGGAGCATATTCTATTGTGCGGAAGGTAACATAATGTCATTTAAAAAAAATCTATAGCAAAAACGATCCATATTTATGTTTACGAAGTGAAGAGGGCCTACAGAACATCTTTTTTTTTGAGAAATAGTTTCATAGCATCACATTTACTCCTCCATGCTTGATTGTAGGGACAATTTATTAACATATTGTTACGTTGATCGGTGAACAAAATCGGCGTGGGTAAAACTCAACAATTTATTTCTTACTAACTTGAATTTACACGACTAATTGCACAGCGATTATGTACAAAATCATTCCTGCGCAACTTGACTGGCTTCTCTCAACATTCGCTGGACTCGACTCCCCTGCTTCCGACGGTGGTTCCCATTTAAACAGCCACGCGATCCTTTTCGAAACGCCTCCGTTACCGCTTCTATACTTGTCTAGAGCACCCATTCGTAACTTTCGGTTCCAGGCTCTTATTCAGCCGCTGTCACCGACGATGAGTCATTATCGCCGTACATACTAGAACTCATAGGCGTTTCTCAGTTGTCCATGCTTGGTGGTCCATAGCGAATATATCTTAATTTTCTTCCAAAAAAATTTGCTTCAGCCAAACGTCATCGTGCCTACACTTAAATTTAAATCAGATAAATCCAAGGACGTTGTATTAATATAACGCCTTGGATAAATCGCTTTTAATTCTTGCACTAGATTATTTCTATGGATCCTTTTAGGAAATGCGTTTTCGATCTATTTTCTCTGAGGTTTTTCGTGGTCTCCCTGATTGCTTTACGTTTGTCCCATTTGGAATTATAATATTTTATTTTTAATCAAAAATATTTAAAGTAATAAATGAGGAATATTCATTTATCGTTAAATATTTAATTTTTTTTTATTCTAACAGCTTTAGTCCAAATTATAGAATTTGAACTGTTTGCCACGTACTATTTTATCCGTGTAGTGGAAAATTACCGCACAGATAATTTTCAAAAGTACCGAGTGCTTCACTCTTTCTGAAGTACTTATTCGTTAAGATTATCAGTACGATAACAAAATGATAACTAAAATTTTCTTGTAGGTACCCTTTCTCTATGCTTCAAAAAATCAAAATAAAACCGTTTCATTAGCATAATCTTGATATGATAGGTATGTGAAACATTATCAGTAGTACAAGCGTTGTAAAAATCCTCTAGTTATGATTCGAACTCAATTAAATTTCTTTAAAATAAAAAAAATATACTTACTTATTACAAAATAGGCAAATACTAACCATTTAAGCAAAACAACTGTTATAAATTGAGCAAATGACTTTCAACAATACTAAATAAAATTACGAGCATACAACTATTTAAAAATGAACACAGTAAGAATAATTTGTTTCAAATCAATTTATACAAACTTTTGAAACTTTTCTTAAATTATTGTAACAAGGAACATTACATTTTAGAACTTATTAATATCGTAAATTTAAAAATATAGTACAAATTATTTAACACTCCTGTGATAACCAAACATCCCGCCAAAATTAGGTGAGTGCGCAAAAAAACCGCGAAAAATTCAAAATTTGGCCTTGAACTGTGATCGTCAACAAAATGGAACCCTACATTGCGAGCGTATTTTTTATGGCGGAAGGCGAAATGCCTTCAAATGCAAAGTGGAAAAGTGGCTATAAATCAAAAAGGCAAAATATGGAGGGTAAATTGTTTGAAATACTTGAATTTCACAAATTTAAACACACAAGGAAGAAAGAGAGATCTTAATTAAAATATCTGGATGATAATACACAAGTTATTATGATGGTGTGGCAGCAAATTGAAATATCAACAGTCGAGCAAGAAAAAACAAGGTCGAGTGAAAAACACACTACACAACATGAGAACGCAACAAAACCAGCGATGGGTGCTTTTTCATGAGGGTCTATTTGCACTAATTCTAGCTGCATACGCGAAGTACTATTAACACTCGCATTCCTGAAGCTTACTGCAATCCCCGCACGGGCGACCGCCATCGCCAGGTAGATATACTGATTCACTGGAGAAAATCCGGTATTGCAGATAAACATTCACATGAACAATGACAATGAGGAAAGAAACCTTTACATTTGGACCCATCTCTTCTTCTTCAAATAACAATTAAATTATGCATTATTGCAAATTATAATGACTAAATCAAAATGAATTCATCACGATTACAACGTGAAGTCAACGAATTCCCATCACATAAAACAAAGTACATATGAAATAAACACCACAGGCACAAAATAAATACGGTCAATATCAAAATAATAATTGGCAAAAAAAGCAAAAAAAGTTCAAATTGAAGTTGTACGAAAATAATTAAATCTGTATGAAAATATTACAGCCTACAATCATTTAGACACTATTAAATTAACAGATGATAATTTTTTTAAATAATAAAGTTTTTTCTCTCAAAACGGATCAACGTTTAAAGTTACCTTAAATGCCGTAATTTAAAAATCTCGAGTGAGAAATTATGAAGTGTGGATAATGTAATAACATACATAAAAACATTCAGAACTTTAGTTAGATAATAATATATCGTTACTAAAAATAAGTTGAGCTTGAATAAGTGAATTTCCACATGTTTTGCTGTAATATTCCCATTATTGCAATTAAATTGTATTAGAACCATAAACAGTTAAAAATCATAACATGAGCTGTGAATTTATAAACAATTAAACAAAAATAACACGTGTTGACGGAATAACAATTGCCATTTAAAAAAATTAGGTAAACTAAATTTTATGTATCCATATTTTTAATATGTACTTACACTAACACAAGAACCGAGCTGCCACCAACACCTAACTAACAACTTGTAGAGTGGCCTTTCGCCCTGTACGCTTAAACCGCTGATTGCCCACGTTAATGACATTTTTTTTTTCAAATACAGCTTCGCGCATTGTTTTATCTTCTTTTTTTTTGGGAAAATTAGATTTTTAAATCGGGATACCACACTCCCAAGTTTTAACTAATTTGGATTTAAATTAATTCCAAAATGAAACAAATTTTGTAATATTCCTCAGAATCTTTAATTCAGCCAATTCTTAAATTTTCTATTAAAGGTAATACAGCTTGGTTTTGTCATAGTTAAAAAAAAAATCGTTACACCTAGACCATTTGATAAGAGAAGCCTTTTTTATAGTAGTAAAGCAACGTAAGAACCAACTTGGTTATTGAATCTGGGAACACATAAACGCGTTCTAAGGTTTTCAAAAACAAAATACCTTAATTTTTTTCATTTTGGACGATTTCCCTCCATATACTGGCGCTGATTGCGATTATGGTGGCGTAGTGTATTCCTCTCTACAGGGACACTATGGTGGCGCGTGTATTAGCGCCACCCTGTTGTGAAAGAAGTTGTTAATACATTTGAACATCTGTAATCTGGACAACGCTTTTACAGAATAAATTTTTAAAGTGCCATCTAGCGATCACATTGCGAAATATTTCTCTCTTGAAACAATACTAAAAGAAAACTAATTTTTCAAGTGCAAAGTGTTACGTGAATTTTAAACATTATAAAACAATAAACAAATGAAACATTGTTAATGACCAATCAAATTGAGGTCATCAATTTTTTTTTTAGTATGAATAAAAGTAAATAATAATAATTAGCAGATGGTTAACAAGTACATCAGACAAATTATTATTTATTAGGAAAACAAAACGTCGTGGCTTGTTAACATTACAAATTATCATATTAGCTGTAAAACGAGTAGTATTCACGTGCACGTCCTCGTTTATTTCTATTGGTGTAGCGTTTGAAGTAGTTTATTGGTCCAAGCCTGTAAAATATAAAAAGATATAGGAGTACTTTTTTACTTTCTTAAAATTAAAATAAATCAGTAAGCAATTCAATTTAGTATATCAATATTAATATAAATAATATAATAAATAATAATGTATGTACTTTATATAGTTTCTTTTTTATACATACATATACAATGTACATACTTTTTAATTTCATGAATCTATGAAAGTCTAAGAAGGTATTGTATTGTTCTATAAATCGGGGTCGGTTCCCCCATGTTATCTATTTGTTTAACAAATAAAACGTACGTGAATTTGTGTTGACAATATGTATTACATACTTGAGGCGGGAAAATTTCATTATCTCAAAAAGATATTAGTACACTTATTTTTAAAATTTTCTAATATGTATACTAATACTTCCAAAATTTTGAAATTCGAATTTCGATCTTAAAAACGGATCTCCTCAACGATATTAATAAAGTTGTGAATTTTTGATATAACAGTAACAGCTTTAGCTTTCAATTTT